CGGTGCCGCGAACACGACTTTCCTGCCTCGGATGCGGTCTGAGGCCGAGGACCCCAGGGAGCGCGGGGCCCGGCAGGGCCGAAGTTAACGTAAAGCGGTGGTGTGCCGCCCGGGCCTTCCCGTTCCGCGTGGACGGGCTGGGGATGCGAGATGGACGAGGACAACTGACCAGACAGCGGCTCATCTGCCCACACCGCCCTGGCAGCACACCGGGAGGGGTGGAGGCGGCGTGTGTGGCGGCAGCATCCGTCCGGGCCAGGACTGACCGCCACCCGGGTGCTCGTTTCGCCCTCTCAAAGCCCCGTCAGGTGGGCGCTCATCACCCTGGCCAGTTCTGAAACTGAGGCTGGGGTCCACGCCGTGGGAGGCGGGAAGGGACCGTGGGAGCGGCCGGCCGCCGGGGCGCGGGCCGGAAGCGGCTGTGTCGGTGCAGAGTTTAAGTCACTAATCCAGTGCAGCCGGCCTGCTTTCTCTGATCGCTGTGCACTGGCGGTTCTGGACAGTGTCTGTCCTGCCGTGCTGGGACGCCGCCCTGCATCCCCGCCGCATCCCCAGCCCTCCTGTGGCCTTGCTGGAAGCCAGCGTCTCGCCTGTGCCCGGAATGCCAGCCCCTGTGGGCACCGGGGCTGTGATGCCTCGGGCTTGGCCCTGTCCCTGACCTGCACTTTCCGCAGTGCTTTCAGACTCTATTCCCGATCATTGTTGCGCTTCCTGCCCTGACATTTTTGGGTCTCTCCTCTCCCCAGCCAAGATTATAAACTTCCACTTATTCCCCGTGGGATCGGGAGCAAACGTCTGCTCTGCAGATGTTATTGAGGAACTCTCAAGCTCATAAACTAGCTTGCATTCCTTTGACCCAGAATTTAAGTGAGATGACTTAACATCCATTAAAGAGGGCCAGTGTCCAACAGCAAGAGGCGACAGGGTGGATTTTAAGAGGATCTAGAGGGCCCGAGAGGCGCAGAGGAGTTGGTGGTGACTGTGGCGGATCCCACTGGGCCGGGATCCCACACATGGCCCTCCTGCCCCCCGGGGTCAAGCCCGCCCCTCAGCAAGGGGCCAGGAAGCCATAGGTCGCTGGTGTCTTTCCAGTGCCCCGTCCTCCCTCCCCTGCCTTGCCCAGCCCCACAGCTGCTCCCTCCCCTAGGAGTTTGCTTTCTCTGGCTTTGTCCCCGAGTTGCTCTCTGCCCAGACTGCCCTCCCCGTTCCTCAGCCGACCCCATTTTATCTGAGCACGCTGCCCTGTATGGAGCACCTGCCCTAGCTGGCAGCTGCGAGGTGCGGTACACAGACGCTCTTCCATCCTGCGCACACCTGCCTTTTGAACAGATGTCACCCCCTTCCGGTAAGGACATTGAGACCCAGAACAGTGAAGTCACTAGTCTTGTGAGAGATGGAATTGAGACTTGCCCACAGGCCAGTCTTCCCTAAGTGGCAGCTTTCTCTGCCACCCCTGTAGAGAGGGGGCACCTTGACCCCCTGAAGCACCCCCCGCCCCTGTGCTCCCCAGGACCTGTGGAGAGCAGAGTGTGCATCCCATCTGCCAGATGCACAGGCCCAGGGCAGAGAGGACAGTCATCTGGTAAACCTTCCCGCAGGAACTGCTGTTCTGCTTTCATTTGACTAACAGATGATAAGGCCGGCTATTAATAGACCCTTATTTTTTCTTTTTGAGACAGGGTCTGGCTGTGTAGCCCTGGCTGGCCTTGAACTCACAGTGATCCTCCTGCCTCAGCTTCCGGAGGGCTGGAATTACAGGCGTGCACCACCATGCCCGGCATAGATCTTATTTTTTAATACCTGCTAATGGCCAGTCAGCAAGAGCTGGTGATCTGAAGGCTGAACAGAAAGCCTCCAAATTGGCCCTGACCCTGCCCAAGCAGGCCGGGCACTCTGCACAGCCTGAAAGTAAACTGCTTAGGGACCAGCGGGAGTTTTCTACGCTGCGCTGATTTCTTCATCTACGCGAGCCCCTTTCCATCTTGGTTCCTAGCCATACAGGCCTTGCCTGTATTCTTTAGGACATATCTGGATAATGGGTTCTGCCGCTCCCTAGGGTGCCCCATCTTCTCTCTGGAGGCCCCCACTCCATCCTCCTCTGCTGTCCGCAGCTCTTCAAGCCTTTCACTTCCCAGCAGCCTGGGCCGAGAACACTAACTTGAAACTCTCCATTTGCTTCTTTCCCACAGCACGCCAGGCCCTGCCGCTCTCCTTCCCAGGGCCCATCCTGTCCCCTCCCCCTCCTCGGTCCTTTCCCCTCTGTCCCTGTCACCCTGGCAGACTGGAACTAACTGGGGCCCTGAGCAGGACTCCAAGACGGGGCTTCCTGGGCCCTGAGCTTCTAATCCTGTCCCTTTCCTCACTTTGGACACACAGCCTTTTCCTGAAACACCCCTTTCTCTGTCTCTTTCCTTTATTATTCTTTTTAAATTGAAGTAAAATTCATTTCACATGAAATTAGCGCCTTTAACGATGGCAAGTCAGTGGCAGTTTGGTGCAGTTTTTACTACGGTGTGGTGCTCAGGACTGCGGTGGTGACATTGAGAGTTTTCCACTTGTTTCAGGTTGTTTTTGTTTTATTTCGCGGTTTCCTCATTCTGCCTCTTCCCTGCTCTTGCATATGCCTGAAACTGCTGGAGTAGATCACAGACTGCACGCTGCATTTCTGAGCTTCGCTCCAGACCTTTCCAGGGCACTTGGCTCTACCCACGAAGTTCAGGTCTCCCAGCCCGTGGCATCCTTGGGAGTTTTGCCACTTCCAGTGCCCTTACCAACCTTTACACGTCCTTTATTTGCTCTCAGAAATAAGTCGCCATTTGAAATGACAGGGATAATCTGTAATTTGCACTTGAAAACAAACATTTATATAGCTTTAGGGAAGGAGATTGTGTAATCTATGTATCAAGTGTATGATAAATTAGAAGTTAGGTGTTATAGAACTGTCAGTGTTTACCAGTATTTTCTATTTTTTTTTTTTTTTTGGCTAACCAGCAGGAAGAACTATAAGAAATATGGTTTACAGTTTACAGTAGGGCCATGTATGCAATAAATATGCATAGACAAAATCATTGTACGTGCAGATATGAAACAAGTCTTACCAAACAATACCCGCCTTTATTACATGCTGTGTATTCTGATACTTTCTGCACTTTTGTTTTGGCCATACTAGACACTGAACCCAGGGCCTTCACACTAAGCTACATCCCCAGCCCTTTTTAAGTGTTTTTATTTTGGACGAGGTCTTGCTAAATTGCTTAGGCTGGGCTAGAACTTGGGATCCTCCTGCCTCAGGCTTTCAGAGTGCTGAGATTATGGGCTTAGGCCACCACATCCAGCTCACTTTTCTTTTTTTTTTTAGTATTCACTGCAACCCTGTCATTCATAGTCACTAGGAAGTATGTAGCATAATTGAAAACAGTGCGCAGGAACAATGAATTGTCCCTTGGGAGAGTAAAAGGTCTTACAGCTTTGTGAGGAGAAGTCTGAGACCTGGAAGGAGCGGGAGCCAAGGAAGGTGCTTCTCAGGGAGGCGTCCTGACATCCTGACGTCCTGATGTCCTGACGTCCTGACCCGTGGTGGCAGTGGTGGTGGGCACTGCAGACAGAGACCCCCACATTTCCTTTGTGCCTGCTGTGGCCTTAGTACAGCTACACCTCCTTCCTGTCGACTCCCTACCCCCAGCTTCCTCCCAGGCGTGTGTCCCTGCACTTCCGGAGGAGCCCAGCTCCTGTTCTGGGGGGCAGGAGAAGCAGGCTCCAGGCAGCGGTCCCTTCCTGGCCCTGCAGGGTATTTGTTATATTCTACCTTTAAT